ACTAAAAATATTGAGAAATATATTTTATCGGATATCCCGCCTCGTAATACAGTTACCGTGCAACAAGCGCAAACATTTCCGGATGTAAATTATCGCAACGGGGGGAGAAGTCGAACGCGGATAATAATGATCGCAGTTTCGGAAAATTCCACGAATTTTTTTCTCACGGGAAAAGGACTCGCTCAGGCGAAAACTGTGGCGCGGGCGGGCGTTTGAAATCCATCCGCGGATCCAGAGCGATCGGATTTTTCTCCCTTCGCGATTTTACGCGATTTCTCATGAGCTACGTCCTTCTGCCGAGGCGCCGATATTCTTCACTCGAGAAAGTTTCAGCGCCTCTCGAGAAGCGGACCGACTTGGCACATTTCTGCAGGCAGCACCAGCACCATCCACCCACCACCATCGCCCGTGGTCCATTCTTCTTTCTCCGATCCCAACACCCCGCTGCGATATCCTTTTATTCTCATCGTAAATTGATTCACGGCCCCGACACGGGCTATCCGCACGGACACACCGTGAAAGTTTCGCCATACTTGAATTGTGATACGTGTACGTAAGTCATCGGCGACGATCCGGATTCTTCGTTCGTCGTTTCTTTTCGAAGATGCGAAATTGTACGAACGAATGACACGATTATCGTTTCCCGCCTTATCCTGCTTGCGATCGCAATGTTTCGTTTAGATGAAAAAAATTTTTGTATCCAAGGAAGAAAATCGGGTACGTTTATAAATAATATAATTTTAATTATTTTTTCTTAATGAGAGAGAGCGCTGGCTTTGAACGACAAGAAATTATTTCGACAAAAGCGAAAGCAGCGGCATTTCCTGGAATATCGAAAATGCGGGAGTCCACAATTATTATTAGGCAGCACGGAAGCAAAGTGAAAAGCGCTCGCAACGCGCTTGACTCTTAAGCGAGTGATTTTAGCCATGTGATGTCGCATTTATAATTCGAGCTTATCTCACTTATCTCTGATGTTCGGCGCTCGCGGGGGGGGCAGAGAGGATAATCCCGCGAACGCATTTAGCATTCGCAGGGTTTTCACGCTTAATAACAGCGCACGCCTATAACTATCAGATATATTTAACGGCGCCTCGATGCAGCGATGTATTTAAGTTTGCTCGATGCGCCCCAAGATGCTGCGCGCGCGTTCCGTGCCTCGCAATTTACATGTTATTCCGGCGTTTACGCATACATTATCTCGGATTATTCTCGCGTTTCGTTACGTTGTTTCAACGTATTTCACGCGCCACGCATTACTTTCACGCGATATGCATATATATATACTTATATATGCATTAATGACGAATGCAACGAGAAGAAGAGCGAGATAAACAAGAGCGATATCGTATTAAATTCTACGCCGGTTGAAATACTTCTATTAGCAAACATCTGTAAAATTTTACTGAATTTGCATGGTTCATTTTCAATTCTGCGAATGGATCGACCGAAGCGAAAAATGTAAACCGCGCACAAACATGTAACACGTCTGACAAAGATAGGAAAAAAAAAAAAAGAGCGGATCCGTCGTAAAATTCCCGTTCGTTTCAGTTTATTTTCAAAAAGTGAATTATCACGCGATAACGCGTGATAATTCCTCCGTGACAATCGTCGAGAGTACATTTGGCAAATCCGACTTTCGCTCGCTGCTGCCCCCCGATCAACGCGTGGAACGCGACGGGATACAAATCCGCTTAATTCGACGACGTATCGAGAAATGAAACGTACGGGGTACGATTCGCTGTTTACAACGCGTAGAATCCCTCGAGATTGGAAGTGTTCCCCCGATTAAACTCTGGCGTCTCAGCGTTTCCTCGCGATCTCCCGTTTCCATCTCGCAGCCTTCTGCGAACGAAAGCGAAATCCGAGAGCGCTCGCTCGCTCGCTCGCCCGCCCGCCCGCTCGTTCGCTCGAGCGTTATCGAGTCGCGCGCATTGTACGTCATCGCACACCGAGGACTTTGTTCCCGTTCTACGAGGTACACGTCGGCTTCGTTTTCAGCGCGGACGCGGAGCGCGCGGAGGAGGCGGGGCGGACGGACCATTAGCTCGGATACATACCGAGACCGGACCGGACTCCGTGACGGACAAAAGGAATGCAGAAGTCAGTATTAGTATTAGCATGTTAATTCTATTATGTGTTCTGCGAAAGCAAAACACCGGCACGAAACGGCGAATGCGAGAAACGAGACGGAATGTAAATCCGTGGGATGTAACGCGAAGCGACGGACTCGAGAAGCGAAGTAACGGATTAAAAAAAAAAATTGTGTCGAGACGGAAGATATGTAAACGGACGCAAGTGTCGCGAGATATAATTATTTTATCATGGACATATAAGGGATATATAATCATTTTGTAATTTTGATAAAAATTACAGATATAATAAGAAATGCATTAGGAAGATTTGAGGAACGAATGATACGGGAATTTTAATATCGCGAGTCTTGCAATTTATTCTTTCTTGTCACTCAAAGTCGCCGCTCTCTCATTAAAAAAAAAAATATTAAAATTATATCCGTCATCCGTCTTACACTGGAATATCCATTTTTCTCTGCACATACATACACGTATATAAGCATTACGAAAGAGGACAACAGACACGGACGTCTCTTTACCCGGGCAGACCTTGGCCGTATTTAACGAGTCGAGAAGCTAACGTATTTCTCTCGGCGAAAACTTTCCTTTTAAGCAAATGCAGAAGGGCGTCGCGCCCTCGCGCCTCAAAGAGTCGAGAAATAACGCTCTGCAGTGAGAAACACGCTTGCCAAAAGACGCTTTTTAATATCTTTTTTTTTCCTTTTCGTTCATTCCTTTCGTACCTCTTTGCTTCGAGAACCAGTCATCGATGCATTCGATCCCGGAGCCAACGCACACAAATATATATGTAGATATATAATGTAAAGAACGAGAACAGAGAAGAAGAGAGAGAGAGAGAGAGAGAGAGAGAGAGAGAGTCTTGCATGCTTCAGATCGTTAATTAACGATGTACTCTCACAGTATTTCGTTTCGTATTTCAAAACTTCGCATGGTTCCTTTCTCGAACCGAAGACGCTCGCGATCAGCTCGCGATTTGTTTTTTTTTCCTCTCTCCTCTTTTTTATCCTATCCAGTCGCCCGATAGCGAGCAAAGCGAGAAATGAGACGATAACATCGCAAAGAATGAGACGAAAGACAAGCAGCCGGATGAACTTTATAAGGTTCTCGTTAAATTTTTTTTCTCTCGACGCGCGACTATAACTCTCACGTGAAACGAAAATATGTAGTCCAAGTCGAGAAAAACGGAGGCCAAGTTGAAAAAAGAGACGGGAGCCGAGTTCGCGAAACGCTCGTTACGATTGTGTTCTGTTCGGATCATCGTGACCATTTTTTATTCAACCCGATAATTACGAAGTGGCGCGGGATAACGAGAGAAATTCTCTTCGGTGTAGTCATTATATAAAGTGAGCTAGTCACTTTTGTCGTCTGATACATCTCTGTTTATTTTAAAGAAGCGACACGAGATTTTTGTCGACCTGCTGTCTTCGATCCCTTTCGACCCATTTCTTCATACATATTTTTCACGATCTTGTAAAAATAAATTTTCATTTAACATTTTACTCAATTACATTATTATATTTCTCCTTTGCTGTCGTGTCGCAAGTTAATACAACATTGTTTGTCCTGCATGCATATCTGCATGTCTGCGTGTCAGTGATTTGATAAAAAAAATTTAATTTAATTTTCACACAATCCTTTTCTTAATATCCGTCGGATATTTATATTCCAATAAAACAGTATTATTTAAAAAAAACGCGATCGGCAATGTTGACTAATAAAGCGCACGGCACTTTTTGAGTTACATGTTGTATCGTCCAAGGAGTTATGCTCGTAAAGCCGAATAACGGCCAGTGTAACTGACATAATCACGAACGGAGTGAAGCGTGCAAGTAATACCGATTATACCAGATGTACTAGAGAATGAAGATGTGTCCTAATGTTTCATCTATTCGAACGAGGGTAGCATCTCAAATAGGTCTGTGCCGATCGTAAAGAAACTTTCAATTTATAAATGATAACATTGTTATAGTTATAACGCTGTCGCTGTCGTAGAGAATAAATTCTTTTGAGGAGTAAATTCTTTTGAGGAGTAAATTCTTCAAAAAGTATCAACGGCAAATTCCCTTAGTCTCGTCTCATCTCGGTAAGAAGGTATACGCGATGACGATGGAAAAATCGTAAAAGAATTGTGACACTCTAGAGATTAGCGGAGCGTAGGACATAAATCACGAGTTAATTTTTTAAAAAGCACTCGCGGTCGCGATGCACTGCAAACGTGTAATTAATCTTGCCTAGTAGGTCGTCTTTGCTCAGAAAAACCGCATCCACCGTATCGTCGTCGTATGTGTGTATCGCAATATCTATTTAATTTATTCCCTCGCAAATAGTTTCCTAAGAGGCGAAATTCAAGCGGCTTTTTCACAACGCGGTATGCAATTAATAGAGAATACATAAAGTTCTCAGCATAGTTTCGAAAATATTTTCTCCAACCAATTTTCTCTAATTCGAAGCAATTGACGTGCTTATCCATGCGATAAAATCAAACTTCCCATACTCTCATCATAAGGGGGAGGGGGGGGAAAAACGAACCGTTTTCTTATCGCGCGTAAAATTTAATTTTCATTGCGCGTTATCGCCTTTAGATAACCAATTCAATTAATCTCGTAATAACAGAGGAAAAAGCGTCGTTCGACGACGAGCAAAACGTATATAGTAGCGTCACCGTCGCGATAAGGACACGATCGATCCGCCGATCGATCGGCTATAAACAACAGAATGATCGACTTACCAATGATGCAGCAGAAGAGCAGCAGGACCATTACTCGTAACGACCTCATGGTGTCTTCCTCGCTTGGGATCACGCGCAACATATACATCCGTCGGACAACTTTTCCTCTTCGTCACGTCATAACCGGTGTCTCGAGGCTCAAGTTATACGATGGCCTTTTCTCCTCCCTCTTTGTCTCTCCCGCGCTTAGATCTCTCAATAAACTTCCATTATACGATCACCGTTTTCACGACGACGTCGGTATTTAGTCACTCTTTCGCACACCGGCGCCAAGGCAAATACGCACGTCTTGTCTTTCTCCGCTCGTCGACTTCTCTCTCCGTCGACTCTCCTTCTCCTTCTCTCTCAACGACAACACGTACGAGCCGTTATGACACCCGTCGCGTCGACGGGAAGCATCGGAATGACAGGAGCGCAGACACAATCGATGGGTAATGCGCTACGTTACGAGTCGTTACGAGTCTATCCCGTACGCGCTGCTGGCGCGATTATGCGCGGATTATGCGCGTGCCGGCGATTGCAAGTTCGCGCACTTACGACCGATGAGCCTTTTCTCTGCGGACAGATGAGATACGACGATATGGGCGACGACATCCGAACTCCGCTCCTTTCCCTCTCCTCCTCACGGGCTTCTTTCGGGCCGTCGCGAGAGAAAATACCGCTACAACGAACGGTCGATTCTTCTCGCTCGCGAAAATACCGATATTAATCGCATCGTAAACAACACGATCGAGCTCGAGAGCTTCGCGCGAAATAAATCGCGATGATTCGCCGGATGATGAAGCCGAAAGAGGCGAGACACGAGGCGAGGAGACAGCCACGTCTCTTTCGAAAGAAAAAGTTCGCGCGAAAGAGTGACCTTCCTCCTCCGCTTAACAATGCGAGACAGCTCGCTGCTAATTATGCGTCTCCTCCGTCGGCGAGATTAGCATTAATGACCTACCGCCGTCAAGATTCGTTTCGCCACCACACCAGCTCGACGTGATAACCGGCACGAAGTGGTGCAAAGTGCCTACACCCGCCGGTTCGTTACTTTCGGTTCGTTAGGCATTTGCCGATCGGACAGGAGACTCGTTTCCCGAGCAAGGGGAAACCCGTCACCGCACGAACAATCGAAACTTGGGACGACTTCCGATACACAGTAGCTATTCAACAGTGATTATAACGTGGGGCACTTGACGGCTATCTATTGTGTCCGGGACAAGATGACGGAAAAGCCCGCGCCGAGGCTTTTGTTGAACGCCTGGCCAGAAATTAAAGGATGTTCCTTCTTGGCTCTCGAAGGCCTTAACGAACGAGATTATCGCACGGCGTTCTCCTCGTTCTGCAGGTAATTAAGATACCCGATAACCAGTAATTCCGTCCGACGTAGCCTGCGAATTCGCCCGCCGGTCTTCCTCCCCCTCGTCCTCCTCTCCCTCCACTTCTCCTTTCCTCTTCCTCCTCCGCCGATTCGTCCTTTCTACCGCCCGTCGTCTACGACCAGCTTCTCCGCTTGGTATCCAGTGTTGTTGTTGCCTAACAAAGTTGGAGCACGATCTAATAAATAGACACGCCAGGATGCCTTACGTGGACGACGATATTGTCGGTGCCTGAGTTACAAGACTGCGGAAGCGCCCCGATTAGACGACCCCGTAGCTCCCAAACTACGACTGCTAGTCTCGAAATCGAGAACTACTAAAATCCTCCGAGAGATCGCGAGTTCTACGTGCTACGTGTTCCCTTCGTGTGCCATCGTATCGCGATCGTGTTAAATCAAATCTTGGGTGATTCGTCACGCCTGGATATTCTAGAAACGTCGGCTCCAAGACTTTCGATAATTATCAACACTTCGAGATGATATCGAGATCTTTGCTTAATTTTCTGTTAATTCAAACGAGAGTTCGCTATGCCGATTGAGATAACTTAATTTTTCTCCCAGCCAAAGAGACACTCGTGTTAATAATATTAATAACCGTAATATAAACGCATGCATGAGAAAAGGGAAGATTAATGTTATCGAGTCTCTCTCTCTCTCTCTCTCTTTCTCGCAGTTGGTACGCTGGTTAAATAAATCAAGAAGCATGAACGAGAGTAACGCGGCGTTACCATATAAGTATCGTTCCCTTCGCCGTTATTTGCGATCGCTGCCGATGTTAAATTCTACGCGAAAGTCGAATACGCTCCGCGCGATCGACGTGGAGTCAGCCGGAGACGAAAGATCAATCCTTTTATGGACGTCGCGTTCGTGCATGATGTTCGAATGTATTTCCTACTACTCATCGTAAGCAAAGCGGGCCTACCTAGACTGAGCTTTACGATGCCAGATAGACCGTGTACGGGCTCGATTTAATCTATGCTGCACGACCGCGACGAAAGGCAGGTCATATAACGGCCTACGATTGGAAACTTTATCGACTCGATCAAATACCTCCGCATACGCGGATAATCCGCGTGGAATATGCAGCATGAAAGTTACGCGCATGAAAAATTTTTCTGCCTTTTACCTTCAAAAATTCTCAACATGTCCGAGATCGTATTATTATCCGTGGGCTTTGCGTTACATAACGGCGGCACGACGAAAAAAAAATTGATATCGTTCATATCGCGATATAAAAGCGATGGATTATTCCGCAGAATTTGCGAATTTATACGGCGGAGATCACTTTTCAAAGCCTCTCTTTTTCGCGATAAAGCAACCAGTTTTTGCATTAATATGCTCTCGAAAATTTTCAAATTTTATTATATTTTTAATCCATCCAACAATCAAGAGGCTCGAATTTACGAGTGTATTTATTGGTTCTCACAATATATAAAAAGATAGAACGAAGTCAAGAACGAAAGCTGTATGAAATATAACAACGAGGACGCGCAAAACCCTCCTACGCAACCCTCTTTTCACCCCATACTAACAATACGAGCCGAGAAAACAAAGTTACAGACAAGTTTTGCCCGCCGCTAGTCGCTCCTAGGTAAACTCTTTCGCGAAGTTGTTGTAAGAGCTTTTGTATTCTATGATTAATACGGAACATCCCGCACGTCGTGCTCAACTCGCATAGTACGAATGGACGCCAATCGATAAATCATCGTAATTATACCTCCGACGTTGGCCTATAACGTTATCTCGCGGGAGCCGAGAGTTGCGCCGAGTTGCAATCGACCGTGGAATCTAAGACGGATTTCTTTGTCGCGCATTAACGGCGCGGTCCCTCCGTCCCCGCTCCTTCCTCCCGCAGCGGAAAATAAACGCGCGCGCTCGCGCGCAGAGAGAGGCTAAAACCTCTCTCTATCTTTATATCTGCAGTTTATCTTTATAACTCTTTAAACGTGCTCTATCGCGCGAAACGATACACGGCGCCGGTCGAGTAAGCGTCCACCTCGTGATTCAGGTGCACCTTTTTTGAACGCGGATACCTTATCGTACAACACCTGGAAATTGGGTCGCGTATATCAATTCGCGTATACGACCGGGAATCGACCGTAAAAGATTCTTCGAATTATTTACGATCGTCGGGCCCGCCTTACGAGACGCTAACAGCGAAGGACGGGTCTTGTTACCGCGGCGCGAGCGGCCGACCGATAGTGAAAGCCAGATAGGCGCGTTAATATTTATTAACACATCGATGGGCTTTATTATGGATTTTACGACATTTAAATGTCGAATAATCGCCGGGTCACTGGTAGACAAGAATATAAAATGCACGCGAGCGATATATATTTTTCCTCCGGCAGCAGCGGACGGGAAAAGGTACTCCCGTTAAAGCGATTAATTCGCATTAGTGTCACCCGGGATCTTTTTGAAACGAAACGATCCGCTCGCGATTTATCTGTTCTACGCAGAAGCCTCGTTCCATGCGACGACAGAGACGTGCATTCAGAGACGGTGACAGCATGACGATCCAAACAATAGCCACGCGACATCGGAGAGAGAGAAGGAAAAAAAAAAGAATTAATGCCCACGTGTTAATTCGACAGAACAAAATGCGCGTGGGCGGAACAAACGATCTTACATCCAGTCTGGCACATTAATACGATACGCTCGCGGTATCTTTGAAACTACCTGTACGAGCACACCTGTAAGTGCACAATGCAGATGTAACGCGCGCGATCCATTAATCAAGCGCGCGCGGTCGACTCTCCGCACCGCGATGCAAATGAGTCCGTTTAACGTTTCGCGATAACAAAAGTTATATGCACAAACTCGCGATGGAAAGAGAAGTCGATCGTTCGACTTCACAAAATAGCAACAGTATCGAAAGGGCAATTATCTCAATATTTTCCAAATTACGCTCGCACAACTCTCGGCATTTGTCATCCATATCTGGCAACTTGCCAAATTGTTTAGCCGATGACGATCGCAACGTCTGTGCTATTTATAATATCGCTCAATTTGCCGAGCCATTAATTGGCCAAAGAGAATTATTTTATGAGAATAAAACCAGATCTCTCTCAGATTTCCACCTCTTCTCTCTCTCTCTCTCTCTCTTTCTCTCAGGAGGGCGTCGCTATTTCGTTGACTCCGTCAACAGATTGCCCGTGATGATTCGAAACGTTAAACGCCGCGAGCTGCTACACGAGAACCGCAAGACAATTACTGCTTCGGTTGCAGTCGCAGAGAGGAAGTCTGGCGGAAAGTCGAAGAGCGAGGCGATGCGCAGCACGCCACGGCACGTCCAACTGTTCCGAAATTCGTCGAGTTCCGGCTGAGTTTCCAACGCGGGGTTGGAGACAACCATTAGATGAGGCGACGGGGCGGGACCTCTGTGTACGTTTTAGAGAGCTCCTCCACACGAAGATCCGCAACGGATTGCCGTTGTTGTCCCGGCAAGATACCCGGTGTACGTGCGCCCGTTCAGCATCCCGAGATTAGGGACGACCGCACGAATGCCGGGACGCTCGTCGTATCGACATTCCGAGGAAAATCGACGGATCGCGATCGATTACGTGCGAGCCATGTCGCATGGACCGCGTATCAACATCACGCTATCGCGAGTGGAATGCTCGAGAAAGTCTCGAAATTATTTGCCCGAGAATAATTAGAGTTCTCAGGAAGCGAGAGTAAAGGAGAGCGCGTTCGTTTTGCCCGTGAGTTCGTCGTAAATATGTCGTAAAAATAAACGAAAAAAAAAAAAAAAAAAAAAAAACGTTTTACCATAAATAACACGGGAAAATAAAAATTATAATTTTTATAATGTTTATATAACCGAGTTGTTAGTAGTATCTCGCTAGTGATATCTGCAAATAAATATTTTAAAATGCAAAAAGAAATATTACTTTTCGAGACACTACAATTAGAAAATCATTTACACAAAGAAATTTTGCTTCGCGATGTTTGTCTTTAAAAAAACCGCCGCTGTCTTTTGCGCTGAAAACCTTTTGACATAAACAAGAAAACAAAACGAATAGAAGGAAGAAATTTTATTCACGTGGTCCGATGGCATTCCAGAGAAGACCCCACTAATGGACCACGTTCGTGAGTGTGTTACATCGCATGTTTTGCTGGAACCGATAGAAGATTCATAAATCCAAAAGAAGAAACCGAGCGAGTCGCCAGCGCCCGAATGAAGCTTTCGTGTGCGAAAATTTACTCCCGTGAGAAAATTATTGAAACGCGCCGCCGGCCGTCACGCATATCGCTGACGCGAGTTCACGCATTTACAAAGTGCCGTCGCGCGCGATATATCTTCCAGAACGCACGCAAGAAAGTTGTAGCCGCATTCTTTTTTTTTTGCATCTTTTTTGCATCTCCTTTGCGCGTACGTATCTCCCGCGTTAACGCGTGAGAGATTTTCATAAACAAGTGATATATTTACGTTCCATCTTTTTGGGAAATTTTATCATTTCAAGCGATAAATTCTTTGATTTATTTTGTCCATCAGATGTTAAATTGCGTCACACAATATCGTGATGTATTGCCTATTACACACAAATATCAAATCTATTTGTTGCTGCGATACTAAATGGGAAAGTACTATTTAATGTTACATTACGATGTTACATTAATCGCGATATCAGATTGGCGATGTAGTTTTCACGTAAAAAAATATTTTTAATTAAATATT